TCCTTGGGGATGTCTTTCAGGAAGTCAGCCTTGCAAGCTGAAGCAGGGAACTGCTAAGGCAGCTGCACCCTGGTCCGACCATCACAAAGTAAGAGAACCGAGAACTAGAAAGGCCAGGCTCACTGAGCCATTTATCCCTCCACCCTTCAATTAACCTCACATGTGTTTATTGGATTGGTTGGCACAATAAACTAACTCAATCCACCCCTTGCCAACTTGGCACCTGTACATCATTCTTTAGATTCAAAATTGCAATTAAGTAACACCTACACCTTAACCCTATAATCCTGTGAAATTTTCCCCCCACCAATGAAAGTTTGTAAGCCAACCATTTCAAGCCTTTATCACCCAATTTTGGGTATCTGACTTATATACTGCCCACTTACACAACCCAGTTCTCTGAGAAGACATCATTTTTCCACATGAAGAGTCTTCATTCCAATTTGAACCTTGTGAAGTCTGCATCCATAAGCAAAGTCAAATCCGGACAGGACATCCATAAAGTCAGCAACAATATGTACCAGTTCACAGGCTCAAAAATATCCAGCTGGTCGGGTTCTGGTCATCAACTCAATGTGGGCTGCCTCACTCAGCCTCTACAGGGTGCCCATTGGTTGCCTTGCCTTTAGACCATGGGCTCTCACCAATACTCAACAAACCTAGCCCCCTCAGGCTAGGTCATGCATTTTAGACCAGTCAACCCACTCTCGTCTTCTCCTCTTTTTCCTGTAAACCAAGTCCACAGGTGTCAGTGGCCAAACTCAATCTGTCTCTTTATTGCTGCATTTCTCCCACTTCCACTCAACACCAAGTAGATCCAGGTGGCCACCAAGCAAGCATTTTAGCCTGCTCTCAAACTCCCTTAAACATTCAGTCCTAGAGGGGAGTTTCTTCATGGTTCCAGATTTTTTTTTCCAGCTTCTGACAAAGACCACTGGTTCCTGAGTACTCCAAAGAACTGGGTGGGGCATATCTTTTCAAAACTTTCTTTGCAGGCATGACCTAAACCCATCTAAAGATCCAATTTTAATGGCTGAAAGCAAGTGGGCTTACAAACTTTCTATTTTCCTACTTCCCATATTTTTCCCAGAAAACCACGGAGTAAACTGTGGCTTTATCTGACCTCTGGCTAGACAGGAAAAACTATCATGAGGGAGAGGTCAAACAAACATCTACTCTCCATCTTATGATTTGTTTCTCCAGTACCCAGGCTAACACATCTTTTTTCTTAAATGAAAAATCAACACTGAGCTCACTGCCATCGGAGTTGGTTTGGACTCATGGGACCCTACTGGATGGATCAGAACCGCCCCGGGAGGTTACTGAGATTATAACTCTTTATGGGAGTAGAACACCTCGTCTTTCTCTTTAAATGAAAAGGAAAATAAAAATGAACTCCAGATATGCAAATGTATCACATTAGGTGCGTGCGTCTTAAATTACATTCCGAGGGAAAACCTTCAAATGCATTGCCACTGGGTCCATTCCAACTCTCAGTGGCCCCGGAGGGCAGGGGGAACTGCCGCTCCCGTTGGCTCCTGAGTCTGTAACTCTTTAGGGGGGCAGAAAGCCTTACCTTTCTCTCTCAAAAGAAGCAGGTAGCAAATTCATGTTTAATAGATTATCTAGAACAACAACGACTCTATAATCATATAACAGCAGTCATGTTTAAGGTCAAGAACCTAGAAGTAAAGATAACTGTAGGGCAAACACATCATTAAACTCCATCCTTTCTTCATAAGCTAAAATGCTGATTTGCTTTGATACATATCTTTACCCTACAAGTCTGCTATAATTTCACACAATAAGTTTCAGTATATTTGAAATAATAAAAACCTTTACAAACCTAGTGACGACACATCAGCAATGATGAAGTATCCTCCCTCGGGAACAATGGGCTTGAGCCCAACACTTTCAAGTAAACGGACCATCCGATCTCTTTTCACTTCTAACTCTTCTGGCAAAGAATTAAAGTAACACTCCGGGTCATCCATGCGATTGAGGTCAATCCAAAAAGCTTGAGCCAAGGCTTCCTGATGTTAAAATTTAAGAACATGGAAAGGGATTAAGTGATTTTTTTATTAGCTTATTGGTCTTGTATGTAAAAATGATTTGAGTAAGATAATTGGCACTAAAAAGACACTTAGGAAATGGCAGCTGTATTCCTGTGAATATATGCTAAACTGCCCATGCATTAATGGAAGTACCAGGTTATCTATCACATACATGGCTAAATCTAACATGAGGGAATGAGAATGAACCCTGAAAATCCAAGTCAAATAAGAGGTATTATTTACAGGCTTATTGGAAAAATATGAAAAGTAGGTTATTTTCTATCAAACTATAGAATGTCTTGGACTATAGAATATAGAAATGATGAACTAGCCATTCCTTTAGAGGACAGTAGTGGGCATAAAAGCTGACCCGCTGCATAGAGGAGAAAATGTGTCCTCCCTTACTCCCCATGAGTGCGTGAATCTCTGCTCTAATCATCTCCTAAGAAATGAATCCAGGTGCAACGAGGGTTAGAAACATCACTGGGGCATGTGTAGCAAGTCCTCTATCATTCTCCAGGTTAAGTCACGAGAGCCAGGAGGAGTGCTAGACCAAAGGTAAAAGGCAGTTTTGATGAGGATTAGGCAGGCATCTGAGAAGGCAGCGGCAAACAAGTGACAATGAGGGCATACAGACAGAACAAGGGTCTGGACAGACAGGGAGCACAAGCTAGTTCATGTCACCGCTGGGCTCAGAACCCAACTCAACCTAGTCACTGATAGAAACACAACCTTCAGGCTGCTTATCAGTGCCAACCTTTACATTCATTTATCCTCTCAGTCCACATAGCTCTTCTGTGGGAACCCAGTGACTGCTGCTGCACCTCCGTTAGTCTGTGGTTCAAATGTTACCTTCTCAGCTTGGCTTTCAAAGACTGTCCTTTGAGCACTGGGTCTTCCACCCCACCTTGGCATTTCATGTCCTTCCTTGTTCTTATTTTTCTTCTCTATAGTATTTATTAACATCTGACATATTATGTTTTTAAATGATTTATTTATTATCTGTGTCCTCCTACTACGTTGTAGGCCCCATAAAAGGAATGAATTTTGTCTGTAGTATTTCTAAGATCAGTAAATATTTGTTGAATAAATGCATGTATTTACCTTGACAGGATGAAGTGAGTTTAATATGTAATAAAACCAAATATGAGAGTTGACCTTGATCATGGTACTACTTTAGAGAGTTACAGTCCCAGAAGTAGATTGGGGGGGGGGAGCAGATGCTTAATTCTCCCTGAAGGCAATGCTGCCAGATCACTGTCTAGTCCCACCACAGGGGTGGGCCTGCTCCCTGCTGCTGGGGACAACTGACAGGCTCCTGTAGGCAGAGTTTACAACCTACTGATAATGGTTCCTATGGAGACCCAGGAAACAAGTCAAAGTTAAGCTGCCATCCGAAATCTAGGATCCGCCCATCTTGTCACATGTATACCCCCAATCCCTCCTCATCCTATTGTGTGTATGTCCTTAGACCACCCCCTCTCATTACTGTTTAACCTATAGTGCAACCCCTTCCTGTGACATATGTCTTTACCTGTGATTAGTAGGCTTGCACCCCCCAAAGGTACATAGGCCTGGGTCAGCAATAGAGAGCTCTCTCTCACTGGTCACTCCCCTCTCTACCCCCTCCCTTGTTCCCTTGCCCTCCTTTCCTTCCCCCTCTCTCCACGTGGACCACCAAGCTGGGCTGAGGTGAGCAATGCTACCATGTAATGTGTCTGACTGCATTATTGTATCTCTCATGCTCTCGTTGACTTTAATATAATACTTATATATCGCAACCATACAATTGTGCATTACTGAACCAGTGGGTAGTAGTAGTGGTGGACGCTGGCACCCCCCCCATATTAAAATTAATATAGGTTGGGTTAATGGTATCAGGAACTAAAGAAAGCAGGTAGCTTCTTAAAGCCAGTAAAAGGCAAAGAATGACCCCTCCCCTAGCTCCTTCAGAAGAACAAAGTCCTTCCAAAACCTTGATTTTAGCCTCAAAGATCCATTTTTGATGTCCAGAACTATCCAACAGTGATTTTAAATTGTTTTATGCAAATAAATGTGTGGTAATTTGTTACAGCAGCAACTGGAAACTACTATAGCCATACAGTGTTTAAATGTTTAGATAGACCCTGGATTATTTAACCAACTGTCTATAGATAGGCACAGAACTGTCCCTGATTTTCTGCCACATAAGGTTGCAGGGTAAAATCCTAGACAATGGTTCCCGTTTCACAGGGTAAGCACATGTGTGATTTGGATTGGTGCTACTATTATCCCCCATAAGGGATTGTGCCACTTTGTTATCCCATCAATAATATATGAGTATTCAAAGCTAAATTTTGATTGATTAAAAAAATCACCTCAGCAATAATAGCAAAGTTCAACAACAACAAATGCTGGCAAAGGTATGGAGAGAATGGTGCAACCACTGTGGAAAAGGGTACAGTTCTTCTACTCTGTATAACCTTGGAAAGAGCAATACCACTTAATCCACTAGAAGGCATACATCCCAAAGAAAAATATACACCACACCCACATTCACTGCAGTGTTATTCACAATAGAAACAGTCTAAGTGCCCATCAATGGGGAATGGGTAACAAACACACAATGGATACAATCTAATGCTAAAAACTCAAAGAATCCATGAAGCACCACATAACGTGGATGAACCTAGAAGACATTAGACTGAGTGAAATAAGTGAATGACAAAGGGCAAATATTGCATGAGCCCACTATTATAAAGAGTCAAGGACAGATTTACACACACTAACATTATTTTATGGTTAGCAGGGATTGGAGGGATGGGAAGGGAAGATCCCTAACTAGATAACATGCATATTAATTTGGGTAAAAGGAGCAATAGGCACACCACCACTAAGGAAAAGGAAGACAGAGAGAGATGCATAGGAGGTATAGACAACATAGGTAAATGCTATTACATGCATAATCTTGCATTATCAGTAATAACGAACATGAGTCTGTAAGTGATAGGCAGACAAGCAAGAGGATTCACTTTGGAGATGAAAGTGACTACCAAACAATAAACACCCAAATCAATGTCAATGAGTGGCTCTAAAGGACAGAACAGAATAGCCCTTTGAGGGGTGGGGGGATTTCTGAGACTAAACATTTATAGGAGCAGAGTCTCAACTTTTCCCATGAAGCAATTGGTAGGTTCAAACCAATGACCTTGTGCTTAATAGCTCAGTGTGTAGCCAACTATGCTACCCGTGGTCCTTCTGAAGGGAAGTACATCCACAGTCATTTATAGGTTTGGCTGACGATACTTCTGCATAAGTTTATATCCAGGTATACAATAGAGCATATGGGAGCAGGTGGTGGCGGTGGTGGCGACAAAGTGATGTAAAATTCCCAGCCAAAGCCAAACAGCTTAAGGAAATGAATCACTGGACCTGAGTTTTGAGTGACATCAAGGTCAATTGGCATAACTTAATTCATAAAGACATTGTTCTACATCCCACTTTGGTGAGTAGTGACTGGTTCCTTAAAAGTTGGTGAATGCCCATATAAAGTGCAGTGATTGATTTCACCCCATGCAGAACAAAAAGAGCTGATGACCTAAGATGCATGAAAACAATTAGTCCAAATTAGTCATGCAAACCTCAGCCTACATGAAAGAACTAGATCAGCAGTTTTCAATCCCCTTTGGGGGTCGAATGACCCTTTCACAGGAGTTGCCCCATTCAAAACAGTAGCAAAATTACAATTATGAAGTAGCAATGTAAATACTTTTATGGTTGGGGGTCACCACCACATGAGGAACTGTATTAAAGGGTTGGGGCATGAGGAAGGTTGAGAACCACTGGACTCGATGGTGCCTAGCCACCAGTGTAAACTGTCCTAAAAGGGACCACAATAGAGGGTCCTGGACAGAGAGAGAGACAAAAATGTGGATCAAACCTCAAAATCTGAAAAGTACCAGGCTCAGTGGTCTGATAGCAACTGGTGGAATCCCCTAAGACCATGCCCCCCTTCTGTCCTGGAACTAAACACACCTTCATAGCTCAACTTTTGGCCACCCAATAGAACGGCCTGCCAAGGTGAACAGTTAACATGAGGACAGTATGCACCCCTTAGAACAATCGATCATGTACGATCAAAGGGGCAGCATTTGCCAAAGAAGAAAACCCTGGAGACGGGAAAGGACAGGAAAGAAGGCCAAGGGACACACAGAGAGGGAACGGGAAGCGTGCTGTCACCTTGTAGGACTACAGTCAATGCCATAGCGCAACGGGCATGGGATGTTGAATGGAAAACTAATTTGCTCTGTAAACTCTCACCTAAATTACAATATGGGATGACTTCAAAGAGTTTGTGGGAAAATTCCATGATCTTTTAATTTTATTTTTCTTTCTTTTTAAAAAAAATTCTATTTTTCAATGAACTTTTTGAAACACCCTCATAAAAAGTTAAAAAACACACAAAAATTATTATTGGCAACCATGACTGTGTCCACCCCTAAATTCCCAAATTATAGTAGCCAGCCCCGCTAAAGAAAGACAGGAAGGCAAGAGCTAAGTAAATTAAAGGGTTAGTACAAAAATAATACTGTCACCAAAAGACCACATTTATGCCTCAACATACTATAATAAAAAAACCACTGCTACAGAGTTGATTCCAATGCACAGCAAACCTGAAGGGCTGAGTAGAACGGCCCCCTAGGGCTTCTAAGTCTTGGTGGCTGCAGACTGCCATACCTTTTTCCTTGGGGTGACTGGCCGGTTTGAACCACTAACCTATTGGTTAGCAGCTGAGTGTTTTACCACCACGCCACCAGGGTTCCTAAAAAACCAAACCAAACTCACTGTCATCAAGTCGATACAGACCAATAGTGACCCTACAGAACAGGTAGAACTGCCCCTCTGAGTTTCTGAGACGGTAATTGTTTATGGGAAGTAGAAAGCCCTGTCTTTCTTGTACAGAGTGGCTGCTGGCTTCGAACTGCTGACCTTGCAGATCGCAGCCCAATGTATAAGCACTTCACCACCAGGGCTTCCCCAAAAGGGTTCCTAGTTACTATAATACTTGCCTGTAATGGAGTGGCACAAGTATAGATGGTATTTTGCTGAACCGTCTGTAAATGCTTTATCAAATAACTAGGACCAATGGACCAGCCAAGCTGGGAAAGGAAGAGATAAACACAGATTAAAAATAAAATTGTTTATACTAAATCTGAGAGAGTAGGTATGCTTTATTAAATATATAATGCGATTATTAAATACAGGTATGTAATTCTAAAATGTTCACACTATAAAGACAATATACTATTAATAACTGAAAGTCATTCCAACATTGCCTTTAATGAAAATGTTTGAAATGAAGCCATTAGGTCTCTGCCTTCAGAAGGTAAACAGTGCCCACAGTCATGACCAGCCTTCTCATCTCTTCTAATTTGCTATTTTTGATATTCTGAAGGTCTAAAGACCAATAGCAGCATCTAGCCTATTGTCTGACCTATGAATTTTGAACTTGCTAGCCTCCCAAAACCTCATGAACAAATTCTTAAAAATGTAGAGGTTCTAATATACTGGTTCTATTTAGAAAGCCCTGATTAAGACACGGGGCAAATGACTTCACTTGGTTTTAGTTTGAGCATCTGTAAAATAGGGATAATAATTGTATTCATCTCTGCGGTAGTTATATAATTTCATGTCAACTTGAAGATATATAAAAGTGTTAAGGGTGGAGTGTAGCCTATCAACCAGGTCACAGCCTGATGCTGCCTCCTTGTGGGTGTGGCCTTCTGATAAGGAGGACTCTGGGAACCTCCTGTTCTCTCCTGCCTTCATCTTCCTACTGGCTGATGCTGGTTGCTGCCAGAGGCATGGAGATGCATTCCCCACCACTGGATCCACAAGACTTTACACCTACTGGCCTGTGATCCTCCTGCATTGTGTCTGCATCATTGCATGTGGCTGCGTGAGTCTGAAGAGGGGCTTCTGGACTAGTATTGGACATATGGACTTGAGTTGGACTGGGCTGCGATGTTTTCTCGATATATAATTACTTCTTGATATAAAGCTCTTTTGTAAACATATATGGGTGTCAATGGATTTGTTTCTCTTGTCAACCCAGCCTAATACAATCTCATACTGTGGTTATGTAAATTTAATACAAACAATATGTAAAGCACTTGCAACAGAATCTCATAAAGTTTGGCAAATAATAACTGCCCTAAATTAGTCATTAGTTTTCCCTTTTTTACATGAAATTAAACATTAAACATTTTTAGCAAAGGAAAAGGTCATTACTTGATCACTTGTAAAACAGTGACTATGTCTTATAAAGAAAAGATGTCAGAATTAAAGCTGAATGAAAAATAAAAGTTCACTAAACAGAAAAACCCATGTCAATGGAATTTAAATGCATTCAAAGCACAAAGTACTTTAATAAGAAAGAAAATCCATGTTTAAATATTTCGTAATAATTCATATTCATCTTACCTTCCAGCCAGTTACACTGAAAGTCTTCCCAGCACTTCCTATTGTTATTGCTCTTTCCCACATACCTGGGAAAGTGGCTGATGGGAAAAAATAGTTAAATAATTAGTCTCAATCAGTGTACATTTAGTATATTCTAAAAACATGAAAAAGATATATAAATTCAATGAAAACAAGTACTCATATCAGTGTAGTTATTACAATAGTGCTTTCAGATAATGTAACTTATGTTACAATACTTCCAGGCACTGTTAACACCGCACAAAATTATATTTCAATCTTATCCTTTGAAAAGAAAAACGATTTTCTGAGGAGGGACTGTGGTAGCAGGAGGCGGTGTTTGGGCAGGTTGACTTGGCAGCAGTGGCACAAGCTAGGGCACGCAGTGTTCACTGCTCGTGGCCAGACACTCAGCAAAATGCTTGGAGCATCAGTTCTGGTTGTGGTCCTAGTGACCGTCGAGCCCCTCTTTATTCTACCCACTGAGTAAACGTCTACAGGTGCCTAAGCCATGCTTGGTAAACGTGGACTCCAGACAAGTAACTTCGGTGTCTCTTGGAAACTTGTTAGAAGGGCAAATTCATGGACCTGGACATACTGAATCGTAATATCTGGGAGCACAGACAGCAATATAAAATTTTGGGAGTAAATGTTTAATTGAGATATCCTATATATAATTTATTCATTTAAACTACATAGTTTTTAATCTATCAAATTAGTCATCTTAGTCTTCAATATAATCACAAAGTTGTCACCCATAAAATCAGTTTTAGAAAATGTTTTGGGGTTGTTGTTTTTTTTTGCCTCAAAAAGGAGCCCTGTACTCTTTAGTTATCACTCTATCTCCTCCTCTCCGCCACCCTCCAAGCCATATGCAACTGCTGCAACCACTAATCTGCTTTGTTTCTGTAGGCTAGTGTATCACAGACATTTCATACAAAAGCCAGTCAGTTCCAATCCACAGTGCCCTGGGAGGCTAGAGTGGGAGTACCTCAGGAGACGTAGAAGGCGATAAATCCTTCCGAAAGCAAGTTGCCACATCTTTTCCACATGGACTAATTGGTGAGTTCAAATGGCTCACCTTTACGTGAAGAGTCGTGCATTGAACCACTGTGCCACCAAGGCTTTTTGACATTTCATATAAGTGTCTTGTGATGAGCTTCTGTAACTCAACATAATGTTTTCAAGATTCGTCCTTGTGGTGCTCTGTATGAATCAAGATTTCATTCCTTCACCTGGAGATAAACTATACCTATCACTGTACAGAGAGATGCTGCTGTTGTATTGGGCGCTGCTGAGTGGTTCTGAGTCACAGTGACCCTGTGTACAGCAGCATGTAACCCTGGTCCTGTGGCAGCCTCCCCACTGCTGCTCTGTCTGAGCCCAATGGTTCTGGCACTGTGTCCATCTATCCTACTACACAGCTAAAATGCAGATACATTTTCTTTATCCATGCACCAGTTAACTAACTTTTAGGGTATCTCCACCTTTGGCTAGTCTAAATATAACTGCCATGGAAATTATGCACGGGATCTTATGTGCACATGCGTTTTCATTTCTCTCTGGTGGAATAGCTGAGTCATATGGTAATTCTGATTGACTTTCTGAGGAGCTGCCATAGTGTTCTGCAAAGTGATTGCACCATTTTTCTACAAATTCAGCAATCTGTGTTTTAAGAGAGTTTCTAGGAGATTCTGACATTTATTACTTCGAGTACCTAGAGATCCCAGAGATTCTGTACATATTTTTTTCCTGCTCGAGTTATTCAGACCCATATTTCATAGTTTGTAACTAAAACACTACCAGATCCAGAAGTTGGCGAAGTGCTTTCAGTAGCAGGCACTATGTGGAACTGGCTGAGTGAGTGAGTAGGGCAGAGGGAATTGGAGATCCCACATTCCTGGTTGAGAAATTACTGACCTTTATTATGAGTTTGGAATATAGTTGGTTAAAATGTTACCTCTGTACTATTTCTGAGACTATATTCTTAGGGTAAATGGAGAGTAAAACGAAGAATGTTGGCTGACATCAGCTACATTTTATGCTGCCTTTAATAAGGCCCTTTACCCAAATGGGCTTTAGGTGGAAGGCAGCTCATTAGAAAACAGAGAGTAACAGCAATGGAAAGACAAGAGGGCAGGACATTTAATGGCAGTTAAAATTGGGCCCAACCACCTAGCCACTTGCTCTGGCATTTCTAAGAAAGAAGGAGGACAGCTATGTTTACTGTGGAAATGGAGTGCAATGAAGTTTCGATGCAAAACTTGCGCACCCCTAAAATGATTGTCAGGCCACTGGTGACCAGCCCCCAACTAAAACCAGCAGAGTTCAGATTGCTAAAACTGTTCAGCCAATAAAAGAGGCCTTCTAACTCACTCCCCCCATGGTTTCTTCATAGAGGGCAGGGCAGGGACTTGTCAGACTGACAAATTATTCACCCTACTCTCAAGGCAGGAGGTCCCTAAGTGTGATACGTTTTAGGAAACAAAGCAGGGTATTGGGTTTTCCATGCTGTCCTTTATCTGATGGGGTTTTCTAACTTTCATTTTCTGTCTCTTCTTCATTATTTACTGAAGGTGTTTGAATAGATTAACATAGTTTAGTCTTTGGTCACCAGGCCATAAGTACCTGGCAGGTTAGCACATTATCTCTCGATCTTGGACAAACATTCACTCTTACCTTAATATCATATGCTCAGGGAATACATGGTCTTCTAGTAAGAAGATTACATAAATAGATAAAATAGTTACTTCCTTACCTTGCCACTGGGGTTATAATAATTTAGGGGTCCCTGGTGGCACAGTGGGTAACGCATTAGTTAGACTACTAACTGCAAGGTCAGCAGTTCAAATCTACCAGGTGATCCTAGAGAGAAAGATGAGTCTTTCTCCTCTGTCATGATTTGCAGCCTCAGAAACCCACAGGGAAGTTCTATGGGGTCACTATGAGTTAGCATTGACTTGAAGGCAGTGGGTTTGGTTTTTCATTTAGGTGGTACAAACAGTAAAACACTCAATTATTATCTGAAAGCTGGGTGGGTTTCATCCCACCCAAAGGTGCCTCAGGAGATAGGCTGGTGATGTATTTATGAAAGGTCACAGCCTTGCAAACCCTCCGGAGCAGTCCCACTCTGCACACACGGGCTCTTCATCGCTCAGAAGGAACTCGCCAGCAACTAGCAACTACAACGCCAATGATGACGACTTACATTAGAATGTGTATGGCTTAGAGTGTCTCTGTTCTTTGTCAGTGGTCCCAGATCTTCCCAATGGCACGGGATCTGACAACTTACTGAATCTAAATAAATTCTAAGCTCAGGCTGTTAATTCTAGGTGACTGGAATAGTTCATGGAGTTATTTCTGAATCAGAAACCAAAATACTGCTTTATTGAGTGGGATCAGTAGGCAGTGTATAGATAACAGTTAACAGTACAATGCAACCAACTGCAACTGGGTTTCATTTCAACTGTACAATTTATATACTATTGCATTGTGGACAAGTTGCTTAACCTCTCTGTGCCTCCGTTTCCTAATAGTAGCTAGCTCATAAGATTGTGGTGAGTAATATATGACAAAATAATTTATAAATTATCAAGGGTTCATGAGAGAGGAGGGAGCAGGGAGGGAGGGGGAAAGATGAGGACCTGATGCCAGGGACTTAAGTGGAGAGCAAATGGTTTGAGAAATGATGAGGACAATGAATGTACAAATGTGCTTTGCACAATTGATGTATGTATGAATTGTTGTATGTGCCCCTAATAAAATGATTAAAAAAAAAAAGTCAGGTTGCCATGGTTAAAAAAAAAGACTGTGGTGGAGCTTCAGTTAATATATGCAAAATACCACTTGAATACTGAAAACAGTAGATATGGTATTATTATTTACATGATTTACCAAGGTCTTTGACACTATGCATAAGAAAGGCATACTTGGTTAATACCATCTTCCTTTACTGTAAGTGTTCTGCAAATATTATTTATTCATCCAGTCAAAACAAATTTACTGAGTGCTGACTATGTTCTGTGCTCTATTGTAGACAGCAAGACACAGGGGTAAAAGCAAGCAAGCATAGACTTGCTCTCACCAAGCTTACAGTCTACTGAGTGGTGCAGATAAGGGACCAGGCGTACAGCCTCATGATAGCATGTCTCCCTACAGGGCACCTCCTTATCTTCTGGACACTCAACACTGAGTGTGCCAGCACTCAGTCTACAGACGATGCTTACTTACCATCTGCACTATTCCCTCTGGTGCGTGCCTCATGCTTTCTCTATTTCTGTCTATAAAAAATACCAGAGCATGATATATGTTTTACTTATAGCTGGACTCTAAAAAATAGCAGGATTCTTTCTAAGAACTCGAAGACATAGGCAAATACTCTGATTTCAGTGCTTAATCGTGTGATCCAAAAATTCTTGCCCTAACTTTTCAGTTTTCCTTCAACATGTTCATTAACTCATTCATGTATCAGTCACTTGACTTTTAATGCACAGAGCAGGCCTACTACAAGGTAGAGACCTACTACAAAGACTGTTTTAAAGTTGGTCTAGGACACTTTCCAGGCAGTTCTATACATACACATGCACATTTAGATGCACAACTGTGTAATAATGATCAGTACCTATTTTTAAATGCTTATTTCCAGAATATACCAGCCATTCATAAACTTCATCACTGATACAAAGTGTATCATGTTTGATGCAAAGGTCAGCAATTACTTGGAGTTCTTCTTTACTATATACCTGTGCATAATTAACAGGGGAAAAAATAAGAGAGCCAGTTACTATTCAACATAGGAAACCCCCTATACCAAATCAGAAGACTGTATAAAGAGACAAAAGACTTACTTACCTTGCCAGTGGGGTTGTGGGGATTATTTAGTATAATAGCTTTGGTTTTGGAATTAAATTTAGTTGCGAGTTCTTGAGGATCTAATGTCCAGTCAGAACTAGACCCCTTTGCCCCATCAACAGGTTTCTAAATGTGAAGAATAAAGAAACAACTTAATTGAGTTAATGCATGTGTGTTGTCTTACCTAATAACCTAATAGGAACAAAAACATTACAAAAGGCATGGTAAAGGTAATGACATAAAGGACCAACAAAGGAAATAGAAAGAACTAGGCTCTAGAATGTACTCAGCTGGGAACTAAAGGTCAGCAGCTCAAGACCACCTAGAGGTGCTTTGGAAGAAAGGCCTGATGAGCAACGGTTCCTGAAAACCCAGTGGAAGAGCACAGTTCTACTTCTGGGGTTGCCATGACTCCAAACGACGCCATGCCAACCGGTGAGCTCTACCATAAATGTCTACCCAAGACCTGGGCCTTGTGTCCACATTTGGTCCACAGAAAATTAAACCCTGTCAACACTAACGATTGTAAAAGTGACTTGTATTCTTTCAAAGAAGTGAATGATCACTATGATTGAGGACAGTGGCAACTCAATGGTAGAATTCTTACCTTCCATGCAGGAACCCCATTACTCTCAAGGCTTATTAGTGACCTTGTAAGGTAGATCACAACAGCCTAGCATTTTCTAGGCTGCCATCTTTATGGGAGCAGCTTGTTAGGTCTTTTTTACTTCAGAGGTGCTGGCAGGGAGGGAGTTCTAACTGTAAACCTTCCAATTAGTAGTCAAGTCTTTAACCGTGCACTACCAGGGCTCCTCTATGTTGGGGATCTAGGTTTAGGTCCCAGTCAATGCCCCTCTAGCACAGTCACCATTCATGCTGGATGCTGGTATGATGCTGACCAAGTTTCTGGGTCGCTTCCAAGTTAAGAAAGGCTAGAAGAAAAGCCTGAGAGTCTGATTTTGCGATTAGGTGCTGTTAAGTCAATTTCAACTCATTGCAACCCAATCAGATAATACATTTAAGTGTTGCCTGGCTCTGAGTCACCCTTACAAATGATAGGATGTTTAAGCCCATTTTTTTTGCAGCCATGGGATCAATTTCTCTGGTTCAGGATTTTCCTATTTTTTTGTGATCCTCTACTAAGTGTGATGGGTAAGGCTGTGTGTTTACTTGGCTGGGCCATGATTCTCAGTGGTTTGGCAATTATGATGCGATCATACCCCATGATGAATCTGATATAAATTAATCACTTTGATGATGAGATCTGCTATGATCAGCCAGTCATTTGAAATTCCTCCAGGGTGTGGCCGGCTTCCACTATATCTGAATGTTTTGGTAAAGCTTGTCTGCTTGTTGCTGAGTCTACATACTGTATCTGGCTTGATATCTGGCCTTCACGCCCCTGTATGTGAGCCAGCAGCCTGTCATATTGCTTGCTGTTCCTGGGAGCATCCAGTAGCCTGCCATCTGACCTGCCAATCTTACCTACTGCTCTTGGATTCATTTGCCTCTGAAGCCAGCAGCCTGCCATTTGACCTGCCAATCTTGAGTGCCTCAGCCGGTATGTGAATAAGGAGAGGCCTCCATCTGATATCTGACCCATGGTCTTGAACTTGCCAGCCTCTAAAACTGTGTGAGCCATTTCCTTGAGATAAATTTCTGTAGGTAAAAGGGCTTCAAAAGTTACAAGAAAAGTGGAACTGAAAGACCGTGGACGTTTTCCACAAACTTTTTGAGGCCCACTCCTATAAGCTTCCTTGGTTTTGCTTCTCCAGAGAACTCAAGACAGTAAATATGAGGTCCTTCTCCAAGGATTGGTTCCTGTAATCACATATCCAATATCAGAAAAGCAAATCTCACCATCCTCACTTTTAAAAAAATCCAGTTTTATTATTTTTAACCACTTGACACCTTTGTGTATGATACAATGTAATGGTCTAAATATATTAAAAAGAGTTATAAGAGCACTCTTGCTTTTAAGGAACATTCTGGGTATACCTCTTCCAAAACAGATTTGTTAATTCTTCTGGCAGTCCATGGTCAATTCAGTACTCTTCACCAATACCATAATTCATATGCATCAGTTCTTCTTCGGTCTTCCTTATTTACTTTAGTTACTTATTAACTTTATTTACTAGCCTTCATGTGCATCTTTGCTGTTTTAAACATGTTAAAGAAGTCTTTTGCAGCAGATTTGCCCAATGCGATACCTTTTTTGATTGATTTCCTGACTACTGTTTTCCTGGGTATTGATTGTTGCTTCAAGTAAAATGAAATCCTTGACAACTTCAATATTTTCACCATTTATCATCATGTTACTTATTGGTCCAGTTGTGGGGGGTGTGGTTTTATGTTGAAATATAATCCATACAAAAGATTGTATTCTTTGATCTTTATCTATACGTGCTTTAAGTCTTTGTTTTCAGTGAGGAAGGCTATGTCACCTGCATGTGACAGGTGTTAAAGGGACTTCCTCTAATCTTGATACCATGTTTTCCTCCTCACTTTCAGCAAGCAAGGTTGTGTCATCTGCATGCTACAGGCTGTTAATAAGCCTTCCTACAATTCTGATGGCATATTTTCCATACAGTTCAGCTTCTCTGATTATGTGCTCAGCATACAGATTGAATAAGTGTGGTGAAAGGACACGACTCACACACATTCCTGATTTTAACAAGTCCCTTGTTCTGTTTGAAGAGTGCATGATTGCCTCTTGAATAACGCATGATTGAATGATTGCCTCTTGATTCTCGTACAAACTCCACATGAGTACCATGAAGCATTCTGAAATGCCCATTCCTCTAAAGGTTATCTCTGCTTTGTAATGATAGACGTTAAGGAGCAGTGTCGTTAAGGAGGAGTGGAAGAAGGTTTCTTTTTTTGCTGTTTGTTTTATAAAATCTTTAAAAAAAA